TTTTATCTTGATCAAGTTTAACTTCAAGATATGCAATACCCTTTTTATTTTTAATAACACGTATTTGATTTTGAATTTCATTTTTAGATTTTCGTCCTCCAAACCAATTTGATGTTACAGGTTCCATTTTTGTATAAGTTAAAATCAAAACCTATATATTTATATTTTTTATTGATTATGGAGTTATTTTTAAAATCACCGGTTTTATTTTGAGAGGGGTATCCCTCAAAAAAGTTTTACTGGCAGATATAAAAAAAAACCTATAATAATACAAAATAGAACTTAACTTAAAGTATAAAAATAAATATATATAATTTTGAATTTAATTATTTTTTTCAATTTAGTGTTATTTTATTTTTAATAATATTTTTTTAAAATTAAATCTTTAATTTATAAATAATAAATAAATTAACTTTAAATAAAAATTTATTATTTTTTTTAATTTGCCGTCAGACTGACATGGCTTATTTTTATTGTGTATTTAAGAATATTATATAATTTAAAAGATTTCAATATAACAGCTTACCTGTCTTAAAAGTTTAACTTCTTTAGATGCAATTTAGAAAATAATATTTGTTTTCTTAATAATTTGATTTTTTTTTTTATATACCCATAGCTAGGCTAGATTGTGAGTTTATTAATCAATTGAAAACATAAGTATATTTTTATTTGAGCAGCATAATATATACTATAGCTAAACTATTCTTCTAATCTAACAAACTTGTTATAAGTATAAAAGCCTTTAAGTTCAGTCTTGGGGACAATATTTCGCTCTGCAGTATCTTTGGGTAAAGACTCTCCTAGTCCACTGCATCATTGCCAGCAGATTGTCATTGTCATATGTCTGACCAAGTCACTAGATTACAGGAAAGTACAAAAAGATAGATTGAAAAAAAGGAGAAGAGAATATCTAAAAATGTCTAAGTAGACCACAAGAAATAAAAGAGTGAAAAATAAAAAAATATTTCTAGCTTCCTTCAAAGACCTGCTTTTAAGACCTTTTTTTAATAAGAAATGACCAATTGGGATATCCTTTCTTTTCCTGACTATGTAAAGAACTTATCTATTCTTGATCTTAATTTCCTTCTTGTGTATTATCTGAGAAGACTTATTATCTAGTGGGAGCCTTTACTTTCAAGATACACTTAGTCCCAACCTTCTTTAAACAATGATTTTTTATCCACCTATGGTAGAAGGATGACTTATAATGGACTCTAGGTTCTTATGTGATCTAGTAGGGACTGGATTATATTGTTTCAGTATGATACCTTTCAGCAGCTACGTCTAGTTAAAAAAATTTTAATGGTATATATCTTTCATTGCTCAAAATAATTATTCTCCAAAGTTCTTTTTGCTTCACAATGGTGATAGGATATTAGAAGAGTAATGTGAATCCTTGTTGATTGCAATATCCTTCAATAACTTTTAAGGAAATGTATTCTCAACTGTAATCAAAGAACTGGAGCTTTGCATAAACTAAAGACTATTCAGTCTTATTGCCTGACTGGATAAAAAGGAAATCTTGGTTTTGAATTTTGCCTGACTGGAATGATAGGAAAGAAAGACCTCAGCTTGAATGAATAGCAGCTTTTTTACTACCTGGGGACTTATTGCTCATATCTTATTGATCTCATGGAACTTGATCTGTAGATTAACCAATTGGAGACATGGATGGATACGTGGCATCAATCAACTCTTTTTATCACCAATAATGTTATCAGAACTTGTAAGGTGACCAATAGGTAATAAGGAGTCTCTAAAGTATTTAGCATATAAAATTTCGCAGATTACTTATGTCTCTTTTTGAGAGATAAAATGCATAGCTCTTCATTTTAATAGGGACAAAAGTCAGAAAATGCTATAAATCAATGATTTGAATAATAGAAAACAATTGTGTGTAGTTTATTTATAGTTATTAATTTAAAAATTTTAATATTTCCTAGTGAGGAACATTTGAATTATGTTCCTACCTCCCCCTTTAGGAACCCATCTTTATCAATAAGAGCTTGTTTATATTTAGTTATTAACATGTTTTGTGTCAACCAATCAGATGCCAGGTAACATTGAATATCAGAAATTCAGTATCAAACTGAGGTAGATAAAATCACTCAAGAAAATTATGAAAAACATTAGACACTTTAAGAAGGTACAAAACAATATATAAGAAGGTGGATAATAAGCCTTCCCTTATTAATAAAATCTCTATTTTTTGTTACTTCTAGCTCTGTAAGGTGACACTCCACTTGTCAATTTTTTTACTTTCTAAAACTTTCTTGCCCTTAGTAGAAGAAGTGCATACTTGAGTCTTTTCAGGCCACTAGAGGCTCAAGTTTTTATTCAAAGGTGCTTATAAATAAGTAAAAAGAGTAGAAGAAGTATATGAAGATAAGCTTCAAGTTGTTTTAATGAAAGTGTAAAGACTTTATTAGCAAATAAGTATAAAACTTCTTGCAAATATTTTTTTAAGTGTGGTAAAGGATTAGCGAAAAAAAGTTTTTTTGTTCTCTTAATAACTTGGATTATTCTTTTTAAATAAAAATTTATATGAATTTTAATTTATAATAATAATATATAGAATCTAATGCAAAAGTCTTTAAACTAATATTTTTTATTATAATTTATTAAATAATTATTAAATTTAAATAAATCTTTAATATTTTTTTAAATCTAGTCAATAGATATACAGTATATAATATACTTTTATTACTTATTAATTTATTTTTTTATTAATATATATAAAAAAATATATATATTTATTTATTTTTAGATTAATCTTATCTATATTTATTTAATTTATTGATGTTTTATTTTGACTCTATATAGAAATTATATACTTGAATAAATCTATAGAAAAACAATTTTTATTACTAATTTAAATTATCCAATTTGATTCAATTAAAACAAAAGCTTTATTATTTTTTTATAATATTATTATAATTCAAAATTTATTAATTGTTAATTAATATTTCATTATAAAATATTAATTCAAAATTTATTAATTATTAATTAATATTTCATTATAAAATATTAATTCAAAATTTAATTAATAATTATTATAAAAAATTAATTTAAAATAAAAGAAAAAAATAGATAATATTTTATTGATTAATTTAATATATAAATTTACATATAAAAAATATATATATTATTTTTATCATGATAAATTTTTATAAAAAATTAATTAAAAATAAAATAAAATTTTTTGATTTATAAAATAATAATAATAAATTTTTACTAAATGCAAATAATTTTTTTACAATTAAATTATTTTTTTATTGTATAAAATTAATTTTAAAATTTTGATTTTTCTATAATATCTATAAAATTTGAAAGTTGTTAACTATTTATTAAATTATATTTAAAATAATTTTAATAAAATTTTTTAATTTGTAATATATAATAGAGATTTGAATATAATAAAAAATCAATTCTTTATTTTTCAAATTAATATTTGTAATTTTTTCAAAAAATTTTTAAGTAATCTTATTTTCTATATTTTAAAAATATCATTTTATCTTGCACTGAACTGTATGTTGCGTCATGGAAAATTAATATATGCCATTATGATCTAATGAATTCGCATGCATATTTTATTCTATTTTTGATATTAATATAATAATACGCATGCACAATTGTACGTACTTATAAATTCAAATTTATTTTCATATACAGTATCCATTTTCGGAAGACAAGTATCAATAATAGTTTGGGGGACAATTTTGGGGCCTGAAAACTTCTTGTCCGTCTTTAAAAAGAATACCTAAATTCTCAAGGAAACCCATACAACCCTCGTCGTCTTGAAATATGATAATTGAGCCTAAGCACGTTTGTACACTACCTAGAGGTAACAAGCCACAAGGGTTAGAAAAATTTGTTTTATTGATACAATTAATGTAATCTCACACATGGAAAAAAAAATTTATAAAATCGCTTTATACATTTAATTAATATACATAAATTCTAATAAATAGGCCTGTATTAAAAATATAATAAAATAAGCATAAGTTTTCATATATATATAATTTATTATAATAGTTTAAAATACAACATAAGAAACTTGTAAAACGAATAATAGCAAAGTAAAAAGAATAAAGAATACAAGTACACGAAAATCAAAATAAATATTAGTAAACAAACATTATGGACTTACTATTCGCAAAAATGTAAAAAAGAAAACTTGAAACTAGACAGTATAGCCTGAACATAAAAATATATACAGTATTATATATTGTTTGACTTAAAGTAAATTTATTTATATCAAGCTTATCACTAAGTTTTTTTTTGTTATAGATAATTATTTTATTTCATCTCGTTTGATTATACCTATGGCGTGATACTTAAATGAAAAAAAGAAAAGGCTATATTTATTTTATATTACGTAATTTAAATTAAACAATGATTACGCGAAATATACAAAATATTTTTAAGATATTTCATAACAGGTCTCAAGTACACTATTAGGAAGGGTGTAGTTTCTGAAGATTCCAGGTAACTCTACTAATTGAACTACCATTCCCATCTCAATGTGCCATTCGATATGACAATGGAATAACCAGACTCCTGGATTATTTGCGTAGTACCTAATTATCATTAAGCTATAAAAGTTTAAGAACCGTTGGTCAGTACACATTAATAAATTTGCTATAAGAGTCTATAGTCATTAATTATTACCCAAGCTCTTTAACAGTTGCCGTGTCACGAAGAGGTGGATCGTCAAAATTGTACTTTAAGGAAGAAAGGGGCTGGTTATAGCTTCCCGCCTCACCCCGAGCAATGATCCAGAACACATGTCCGTGCTATTTCAAATAAAATAAAAATAAATAAAAATATAAATAAAATTGGGATGTAGTTAATATTTGTAATACAAACTCACCAAATGGAAGGGGTGCGTTCTATTTTCTGTATTGTTTAAAAGAATTTCAATAGGCTCGTTCAATTTATTATAAGAATAAACGTTATCGGAAGTTACGAAGTCAGCGCCATCGATAACTCGTTGATTTGTAGGATAGGTAAAGTCTGGGACGTATGATGAATTGTTCATTGTTGCGTCGATAACGAGATTTAGTCTTTGGATAGCGACTTCAATATAAATACGCCTAATATTTTCTCCTTGTGGTACCCGTGGATACTCTTGGTATGGTTTTAAGAGGCTAGAAGCCACATCATAGCAATTGAACTCGTTTACGTGATATTCTTCGGAAGTTGGAATGGTAAAGGGTGCATCATCGTATCGAAGAATGCCAGTAATATTGTTATTACTAAATATTGGTGAATCGGCATTAATTGTAACATTGTTGACTGGGAGACTGCAATTAGAAAGGTGTGTCCGAATCCAATAATTCCCAATTTCTTTATTCGCCTCTACAATTACTGAGTATCGCTGAGCAATATTGATTGGAAGCATTTTAATAGTGGCCGGATGAGTTGGTACTCCATCAATTTCAACAATAGTGAGCGGATGTTCGTCAATGGAAACCCAAAAATGTGACATTGTACTCATATTTATTATTCTAAATCGATATCTTTTTCCTTTCTTGACTTTGTAAGTGGCGAATTTCCGAGGAATACAAGTCGGAAAAGTACATTTGTACTGTCCCACACCACTAATATCTGCAGAATCAGGTATAGGATCGAATCCAAAATAGTTTTCTGTAAATCAAATGATTTTTTTTTTTAGTGATGTGTCTTTTATGTGCAATACGTTCGTAACAGGATGTGAATTACCTACCACTACGAAGTGTGGGTAACATGCTAGGATCGCCAGTAGGTTTGTGGTACCAATCAGCGACGGTCATCACATATTCGTAATCGTACATATCTTTGTTAGGATCATTGGGATCGTGGATAACTATAGGTCCCTTTAAACATTGGAAAAAATTACTTAACCGTCCACGTGCAAAAAATTTTTTATAAATCGAGGTGCTAAGTTAAGTTTTCTTTACCTTTAAGCCGTCAGTTAACTGAGTACGGATGTGGGAGTGGTACCAATAAGTCCCGGATTGCTCGACAGTGAACACATATGTAAGGTTGGCTCTATTTGGAATTGGACACTGTGTGGTTCCAGGAACACCATCGTACCAATTAGTACCTTTTTGGAATATCCCGTGCCAGTGAACTTTATAGTAAAAAATTGCAAATTGATTAGTGCACGTTGTAAGAACGGAATCACGTGTCCTTGCATACTTGTAGAAGGATCGCCAAGATGATTGATCACAGTGATGTGAAACGTATCACCAATATTTGCACGGATCATTGGACCGGGGTACCTTTAAATAACAAATAATTAAATTCGACTAGATTCTCAAATTATTTAGTAAATAGTAATACTTACTGCCCATTTACACTCCATACTGGACGAAAGATACCGTCAGGAGCCAAATAAACCTTTATTAATTCGAAAGTGTAATAACGAATTATGTTTTTAGGATATTCAGGTAATGACGTAAAAGCTTCAAAGATGTCAGTACGGTAGAGTGAATCGATCATGCGATCATCACTTTTTGATAGAGGCGTTGTCGATCCTCCAAAGCTATAGAAGATCAGACTGAAAAATATAAATGAATATTTAAACCTCATTTTTTTTTTTTTACAAAAAAAAAAAAAAGAATCGTTAGAATTAATTAGGTATAATGCTAATTCCTTCGTGCCAAAGAACTAGACGAGAATAATTATTTTCTTTCAAAAATGAGCAGTTGGGAATTGTGGAAAAATAAACGCGTCTTTTTATATTGTATGGTTAACTACAGTCCCAATAAAAATCTTACTTAAATGCCTGTGAACGCGAGTTAAAACTGACCCGTCTCCAATATATTAAAACAGATGTGGTAATCTATAAATTGATTCAAAACGATATTTGTTTATCTTGCGAGCAATGAATATTACCGAAGATGCACCCCTGGCGTAGATTTTAAAGTTAAGAACAAAGTTTGATCTGCGCGCGCTTACTATAACGGAGTCATGTTGCCTTAAACTAATAAAGTTAATTTTCAAATATAGTTTTAAGTTGTACTTGCGCATCAATGGTATAGCACCCGTGAAAGTAAGTTACTCACCTACGCCAGTGATGCCAAAGTGCGCAGTAACTCAGGAATGTTACCCCTGCGAACAAAACTACGTAGTAATAACTCCACTAATTATGCGGTGATTATTTAAAAAAATGGTTCATTTGCATAACTTTTATTCGAAAAATTAATGAGCTTATAATTGTTTTAACAAAAATACTGAAAGAAAAAATCCATTATTACATTTACTTTATTTTGGCGCAATTATCCGTGCATAGTAATTATTCTCGATGCACCAATAATTCATGCATCTACGACGTAAAAATTATCATTTAAAAATGTTACATTTTAAGAGGCGAGGGACCAGCGTTAAAAATTAGTTGTTAGCGTTTGTAAATGTACAAACTATTTAGTCAAACATAATAAAACTATCTAAAAAAATAATTTATTGTGCTTGTTCTTCTTAGAAATAATATGCACCCTTACAATATATTAGGGGTATTTTATTTAATATAATAATTTTTTTGACGGTAGCATAAGACTAGTTGACAAATTTTTTGTATATTAAAAATATACAGTATATTATTTTCAAAAAAGTCAAAACTTTGAAATCGGTCCCGTAGAACATTTCTTATTAGAAATACATGAAATATCAGAATCTCTACGTAATATTTATTTGCAACTATTAAGTAATATCTATTTCATATTATTATTAATTAACCTTTTTTTCGTTTGCCAGTTTATTCGATAAATGCATAGTTAACTTTTCGAAAAAAACTTTGACAAAATCTGAAAAATTTTCTGTTATTTTTGTAATAAGTGAAGTTTATATAATATACACTAAACTCCATATATGTATTATAATAACATATATGATTAATTTTTATAACTTTGTAATTAAAATATAATGGCGCGGTATTAAAGTGAAGAATCATTATATCACAAGTAACGATCGCTTGATTCAGTTTTAGCTAAAATTGAACCAAATAATTAGTTTAGATACTTTTAAGTTTATCTAATAATAATATTATTATCAAAACGTCTTTTATTCCTTACTTGCTAAATCATACTTTTATTCTATTAAAGTAAGTGAATGGATAAATAAGAGGGTGGGAAAACAAATAGATGGATAGATAAATAAAAGGGTAGGTGATTAAATAAATAAATATGTAGGTGGATGAATAAGTGAATGGATAGGTAATCAGATAAATAAACAAATAAGCGGCGGATAAGTGAATGAATAAGAACGAATAGATGGGCAGAAAAGTGAATTAATGGATAAGTTAATAAGTGAACAGGGTAAGTAGGTAAATAAACAGTTGTACGTATAGATGAGTGTGTAATTATATGGATGGGTAGGAGAATATGCAAAAATATTGCATATGAGTGAGTAGATAAATGAATTAATAGATAGGTGGGCAGTAAGCGGATAGGTGAGTGAGTAAATGAGCAGATTAGTGGATGAGTAAATGAATAAATATATATGAACAAGTAAATAAATTGATAGATAGATGAGAAGTGAATAGTTAGGTGGGCAAGTAAGTAAAAAGATGAATGGTGGAAAAATGGATAGGTGGGCAATTGAGAGTGAATTAGTAAATTAACGAGTATATGGGCAAGTAAGTGAATGAATGGATAGGTGGAAAGTAAATATATGGCTGGAGATTAAGTGAACAGATAGATGGTAGATAAGTGAACGAATGGATGGGTAAGTGGACTAGTAGGTGGGTAGATAAGTAAACAGATAGGTGAGTGAGTAGTGAATGGATGAGTGGACGAGTAAATAAGCGATTATATGAGCAAGTATGTAAATAGATGGAGAGGTTAGAAATGAATATATACTAAGTAGATGAATAAGCAAATAAAAAATGAATAGATGAACAATTATGTGAACATATGGGTGGATAACGGACAAATGTGCAGATAAATTAATGGATGGATAGGTAGGCAGATAAGAGAACGAATAGATAGGCAGATGGGTAATAGATGGGTGGCGAATATGTAAACAAATGACTGAGCAAAGAAATGAATATATGTGTGGCAACTAAATGAATGGATGGGTAAAAAGAAAGGAAATAAATAAATAGGTGACATAAAAATAAATGGATATATGAGTGGGTAAATATAGTATATAGAAGTATATACCGGAATTAGGGATGTTAAAAAGCTGGCGGAGTCGACTTTTGAGTCTGTTTGAACCGAGTCCGACTTCAGACATGTTATTTATCACGTGATTACAAACATCGTATATTTATAGCGGGCACGTGATATTAAATTTTTATGACGTATCTGATTAAACAATACTTGGTCAAAGTTTATGAGAAATTTATAATTTATTAAATCAAATGTTTAAGTATATTTTATATTATCAATTTTTTCTGAAATTATGTCTCGTTTAAAAAAAATAAGTTTTTTTACATTTAATAGTTGTTTTATGAATTTTTATATCTAAATACATTTTTTATAAAGTATTATAAATAAGAGTAGTTATTTTTTTTATAATTTTTTTTAATTATTTTATCTACTTTATTATTTCATACAATACTTTTATCTTGTGAAGTTATATTTTTATATTATATATTATCAAGGAATTCTTTATTATTTATAAAATAGTATATATTATATAATTTTGTGTTAAGAACAAATCATAGATATTTTTTATTAAATAAATAACTTTTTTACTATCAATAAAGATATTTATATTTCAACAATCTAGGTATAGTATATAAAGATATCAATATTGACAATTGTTTAGCTTAAATAATATTACAATTTTTTATTATCTTTAATATAAAATTAATTTATAATTAATTTTAAAAAATCTATTTTATTATATTATTTTTTCTCTTACGAATTTATTTATATAAATATTATAGATCTCTATTTTCAATATTTTGTTTTTTATTATAAATAACTTATTAAGCATATTATTATGAAAGAGTCATTTTTAAGTTTTATTTAATTTATTTTACAGATTATATAAGATGATTAATTCTTGAAATAATTCAGTATTTTTGTAACTCATATTTTTTTATCTATTAAAATATCATTTTACTTCTAATATCAAAGTATATAAGATAAGATTGTTCTAAAAATTTTTATTTTGCTTTTTATTGTTTTATAGTATCAACTTCAATACATCATTTCTTAAAAAAAATAATATTTATTTTATATTTTATAGATATCAAAACTCTATTATATAAATAAATAATATATTTATATTAATAAAAAAAATAATATCAATATCTATTTCTTTGTATCCTTAATAATAAAACTTAAAAATATTCTATTAATTTTTTTTTTTATAAAAAGATCTTTATAATTAATTTATTCTTCAATTATTAATAAATCTAATTTAAAAATCACCATTAAATTATTTTAAATAACTTGGAATTTCTCTAATTCTAAATATAATATCAATTTTTTTTTAATATAATAAAATAATATTTAATGATAATTATTTTATTATAAATAATAATTATATGTTTAAAACTATTTAAATATTGAATACAAAATCACAAATAATAAAAACTCTTTTTACTAATTCTCTGTCTATACACAAAAAAATATTCGCAAGAAATTTTTTATTTCTTTGCTAAAAAAGTCTTAATACTATTTCTAAACCAACTTGAAATTGATCTAGAAAAGTTAAAAAACACCTTTTCTATTTATGGCAAGAAAGTTCTATAAGAAAAAAGAATTAATAGTATAGTACTCAAAGCCTTTTATATTAAAGTATATTTATAGATACTTTATATAGTAGGAAATAACAAATATTAAGTCTTATTTTCAAAATATCTCCTCATTGTTTTTTTTCTCATATAATCACTCAAAATTTTTGATTTTCTGAGAAATTTTATCTATTTCAATTTGACACTAAATTTTAGATGCCACAATCTATTGCAAAATATAATTAGTAAATATGAAACACATTAATAGTTAAATATAAACAAGTCACTATTGGTTCCCTCATGTGTTCCAATAATGTTATTAGTAATAAAAAAAGTAAATTGATGCCCCATGTCTGCCCAACTTCTCCAATTAAGTTAATCTACAGATCAAGTTCTATGAGGTTAATAAATATGAGCAATAAGTTCTCAAGTAGTAAAAAAGTTACTATTCATTTAAACTAAGATCTTTCTCTCTTATCATTCTGGTTAGGAAAAGTTCAAGATCAAGATTTCTTTTTCATTTTAATCAGGCAATAAGATTGAATAGTTTCTAGTTAATATTAAGCTACAACCTTTTAATTACAGTTGAAAATGTATTTTCTTAAAAGTTATTAAAATATATCATAATTGACAAGGATTACTATTACTTTTTAAAACCCTTCTATTATTACAAGGTAAGAGAATCATTGAAAAATCTGATCTTTTGAATAATAAAAGATATATAATAGTAAAATTCATTTAATTAGACATGGCTGTAAAAGGTATCATATTAAAACAATATAGCTCAGTTTCTATTAAGTTATATAAGAATTTAGGATTTATAGTAAGTCATATTTTTACTATAAGTAGATAAAAAATTATTACCCAAAGAAAGTTAGAATCAAGTATATCCTAAAAGTAAAAACTTCTACTAGGCAATAAGTCTCCTTAGATGGTATACAAAAAGTAAATTAAAATCAATAATGGATAAGTTTTTCAAATGGTCAGGAGAAGAAAGGATATTCCAATCAGGCATTTCTTATTAATAAAAAATCTTGAAAGCATATCTTTAAAGAAAGTTAGAAATTTTTTTCAATTTTTACTCTTTCATTTTCTTGTTGTCTACTTAAATATTTTTAAATATTTCACTTCTTTTTTTTTAACTTATCCTTTTGTAGTTTTATATATTCCAGTATCTTAGTGTGATATATAGCAATAACAACCTGCTAGTAATAATACAGTGGACTAAGAAAGTCTTTATTCAAAGATATTGCAGAGCAAAATATTGTTTCCAAGATTGAAACTTAGAGACTTTTATGCTTATAATGAATTAATTAGATTAGAATAATAGTTTGACTATAGTGTATATTATACTGCTTAAATAAAAATGTATTTTTTTTTATTGATTAATAAACTAGCAATCTAGCCTAACTATAGATACTCGAAAAAAAATTACAAATAATAATAATTCAATTTTATTTTTATATGAATAATTTAAAAATTGAATCTTTAACAATTTTAATTATTAATTTAGATAAAGTCAATTATATATTGAATATTGTTATAGGCTATCTCAATGAGTGTATCACTAAACCATAGTGCCTTGCGTAATTTAAATGACTAACAAATACTTACAACTGATATAAAAAAGAGAATGTTTTCTATAAAGAACACTTAGGAAAGGTGGAAATATAATGATTGACTTGGCTAAGGATAAGTGTCTTTTTATTCACATTCTGTTTCTTTTGTATATCACTAACTCTCATTTCTATTCACAATAAGGGCTGCTTTTTTAACATATTTAGTACTGCCTTTTCAGTTTACATTAGTAAGCTATTTATATTTTTCTAACTAACAATATACTATCTACTTTATAATAGACTATACTAACCCTAAACTTTGTTAAACTTTCTATACTTTGTCAAACATATATAGTTCACTTATTATTATTCAAGCCTCAATTTATAATTTCTTATCT